TGTACTTTAAATATCTATTGCTATTTGTATTGATTATGTCTTTTACACTTTATTGATGGCTGAGTTGGTATTCCATCTCAGTTTTTATAACAATAAATGTTCCATAAACAAATCTTTCAACCTACTATTGATGGTAAGAAAAATCTGGTAATATAAAGTAGGGCAGAGAAGAGATGATAGATGAAAGTTCCAGGTGTACAATTCCACCATGGCAACTTTTATTGTTTGCTGTCTTGCATTTGATCCAATTTATTATTTAAAAGAAAATCCTCTAAAAAAAAAAAAAAAAGCAGTTTTGCTCTCAGTTTAAGGGTGTGCTTTGAAATAACTTTTGGGTTTAGTAGGATTTTGTTTGTTGAAAGTTTTTGGTTAAAATCTAAGGGGTTTTTTTTTCTTGCCTTTTTTTTTTTTTCCCCCCTTAGAACTGCAGTTCAGTTTCAGTCTTCTTCCTGTTCAGATTTCCAGAGTTGGACAAAATAGCTTATAATTTTTTTTTCATGCTCTGATAAATTTTAAATGCTCATAGTGGCTAGAAATTGTAATCTGTGTGATTAGGGAAGTGAGCCAAAAATTAGTGTTTAGCAAGTGAAGCTATGTCTAACATCTTCTAATTCTTTAACTTACTTTTTACTGATAGTAAAATATTTAACATTTTCTACTTCATAATTAGAATAAAATCAGCAGTGATTTTAATTTCTATTCCTTTCTGTCAGTCATCCAGCAGAAAGAGGGAAGTAGACTTTACTTTGGTTCTGTTAACCTAACTAGATTTGAATGTTGCTTCACCCTTCATATCTAGACTGAGTGGGTAGGATTCATGTTGGGTAACTCTCTTTTCACAAAGTGGGGGGGGTTCTTTTTCTTTTTTCTTTTCTTAATGTTTGGCTTTTGAATACTGTGTGGTTATTTTGTATTTTAAAAGGTCTTTGTCATGCGTAGTGCATATTACTAAGGATAGTCAATTTCCTTAACTTCTGCAAAGAACAAAAAAGATTAAATGACCCAGGTTTTTTAGGTTGGGGGGGAGGGTGGTTTGTTTTGGTTTGTTGTTTTTTTTTTTTAATATTAAACTTCTTTTAAATCATCTTTAATTTAATCACCTGTAAAAGCCTGGGTGAACTCTGATAGAAATAGGGAAGTTGGCATTTTAAAACAATTTTCCTTGTTTTCTTCTGGCTGCAGCCAGTAGAAGAATACTCTGGAGGAATTTCACTGGGGAATAATTATATCTGCAGGAGACATTTCTTTTTAATTACTATCAGGTAGTGATTGGTTTACGACCCTGACATGAAGGCTTATAACACATTTTTAAAATATCCTATATAACTGTTTTGATTGCATATATGTATGTGTAATTATCTCTGAACCTTGTTTAAACTTTGTTCTAGTGTCTTGTGTTGATGAATTCCTCAAGTTTATGTGATTTATGTGGTGGCTTGTATGTTTAATGTTATTCCTCAATTTATTGACCGTTCTCCTGGGGTTTTCTTTGTTGTTAAAGCATAAATTGGATGATCTACTTATTGTATGTGTTGTACATTAAATTGTATTTCTGTCATATCCTCTTATGTTCATTTCCTTTCGACATTAAAAAAAGACCAAAACCCATCCTTTTTGACTTGTTTCAGGTGAAAGACGTTCAAAGTCTTTAATCACTAGTTGCTTGTCTTTGGAATCCTTCTGCTTTTACAGTATCTTTCTGTGATTGCTTTCCTCAAATCAAACATCTATCGTGATCACAAATACCAGGGCATTTTTTTTCTTCCATATTGTACCTCACTTTTGATATATCGGGTACTGCAGGTAATCAGAAAATGAACACAGGTATCTTGAATAGTTTTTATGAATTATTTTAAAACTATTTTTTCCCACCAAACCGTCTGGGCAGTGGTCAATTCTCTTTTTTTCTGGACTAGTTGCAATAGGAGTTTCTGTTTCTTTCTGAAGAAAGAGTGGTTCAAAATTCAGTGTAATTGCCATATATTTATCTATGCTGAATTTCAGCTGGCACCATTCTGCTTATTCCTTCTTCCACAGTTTTCAGTAATTAATGCTGCAGCATCTTCAAATGTTGACATTTACTAACAATTTTTTTCAGGGGACCTCTGTATGTTCCTTCATTCTTTGAACTTCATGTAAGATTATTGCTTATTTCTTCCCTTTGGGCAGTTTCTGATCAGTGAAAGTATGTACCCCTGGACAATGTATTTTTCCAAATGGCTTTGCCAAAAAACTTAATAATTAAGTTTTTGTTAAATATGCAGCTAAGTGGTTTAATTTATATATTTGAAAATTTCTAATGGATTAGAAAGATATGACTTCCCTATATTGACACTTTACTAAGTCATCTTTATTTTCATCATCCTTGGAGTTTTATAATACTGTAATTATTTTCATCAATTTACTTGTAGCTTGGGGAACAAGGCTTACAGATTTACAATTCCTAGAATTGGTCCTACAACTTTTTTCTAAAAAGAGATACAGTGTTTGCCTACTTTCTGGTCATCTTATGGGGTAGTTTATTTTAATGAAATGTGGAATTTTTTAGCAGCTTGGACCTTTTTCTTGCATTGTTTTCAAGAATCTAAAATGCGTTCACACAGGTCTTTGGGCTCTTTCCATATCCAGAAGCTCCTCTTGCTAAATTATTTTCTGGTAGTACCTTTTTGTGTGTTTTTAATTACTCCCTCAGTTCTCTCAGTTCCCTGTGGCTTGTGAAGTCTCTTGCAGGTTTTTGTACCTAATGGGATTTTTAAAATTCTTAATATTTTTTTTCCCCTGTCCTTGAATGTTTTGCACTCTCAGTGCTGTTTTTTGATCATGGCAGTGTTTGTCTTAATGTTAAACAAGAGCTGTTTTGAAAACTTCCAGAATAAATTTCAGAGTTGGAATATATAGTTTTGTCTTGAATAACCTTTGGAGTTTTTTTGGTCCATCTTTCCATGCATAAGGGCATGCCCGTGTTTGTGCAGTAACACCTGCAGAATAGCTAAAACCTAGGTATGATCTGATTCTACTTAGTACTTCATAATATTTTTCATTATCAGCATGTTGTGTGAACGTTGGATTTACTAATGATTTATACTTGGCATCTAAGAAGTTCATTTTAATTCTGAGAATATTTCAACTTGGATGTTTTTTGGCTTTGCTCTCTTTGCTGAAATGGGGCTGTTGTTACACTCTTGAGTTCTGACTGCTCATGTGGAGGTACCAAGTGTGTTGGTTTTGCTGATATTCCAAGAAATACTTTCTGAATAAAAATTAAGAAGTCTCTTTGTTTTCTTTTTTGTTTTGTTTCTCTGTATATCAGTTTTGGATAATTTCTGTTGGATGCAAAAGTAGGATGATAGTGAACTTTTGAAGGTGAAGAGAAGGAAGACTTAACTGAAGCAGCCTTACTTTGATTGCTCACTAGTGGAGGAGGATCAAGCAAAATGGAGTAGCATTTCACTCACCCTGTTCAGCGAGTAGAACTGCCCTTCGCTCTTACCTTTTCTACCTTCTGCCACTCCTGCTATAGGATAAGGAATAAACTTGCTTGTAAAAGGTCATTCTCCTCATCATGGAGGAATGACAGGAATTTAGTGGGAGAAGTCATCTACTTGCTTGCATTTTCCTTCATCTGCTTCCTTCCTCCCGCTGAAAAAAAGCCTTTCATTGATTTCTGGAGGAATTTTTAAAAAAAGTTGTGGGGAAAATAATACCTGCTTGAGGGGTATCTGAAGAGATGTTGAGAAAATAAATTTAGTACTGTTCCACTTTTCCCCCTGGGAAGTGAATACGTGTGTGTGTGTCTGTATTACCCAGGTGTTGCCATCTCCAAGGCCGAAAAGGGGTCCTGCCTTGCACTCATTTGGAAAGCATTACTCTTTTCTACTGTATGACATCCTGTCTTTATGAATGTCCTGATGAGTAGGTACAGCTATAAGGGGGCTGGGCTAGGTGGGTACTTAGGGATCACCCCCTTGGTTCTTTTGATGAAGAGAAATGTTGAAAAATACACACATTTGTCTCATGGGAAGGGTTTTGCATGAATAGTTATGGCCTTTTAGAGAGGGTCCTCAAAAGCCAGAGACCCAGGCATTCGCTCTCACAGAGATGATTTTTATTCCCCTGAAAGCATTTGGCTAAGGTATGTGAGGAGGATTGTACAGTCTCGCAGGTGTTTTTAATAAGAAAACAAAGCTGGCTACTAGCAGTTTCTGCGTCTCCTTACATTGCTGTGAGTAGAAGGTAATAGTAAATTCCCCCTTGTATTTACTGTTTTTCTTGCTCTCCCTCTTTGAACTCTCAAGGTTATTCAGTTATTTTCCTCACAATTTCATTAGGAAATTTGCCAAAAACATCCTTTCTAGGCAGCTGTCTCTGGACCTTTGGAGGCCAGCACTAATGTGCTTCCAGTCTGCAGGGGGTGTTTGGCACGAAATTATGAACTAGGCCTTCAGCGCTTCGGGGGAGAGAGGGGAAGGGATCGCAAACGTTTTACCACACCCAGGTGCAAATTTTTGCTACTCTATGAGCATTCAGAGGCTTTCATCTCTTGTTGTACCTGTTTTGTCCTGGTGCAAGGTCTGTTAACAGCAACAAATTGTTGATGTGAGAGAATTATAATGGAAGAGTTATTTTTCTGTTCGCCAAATGTTGCTTTGAAGAAAAGCTTTTGTGTGTGTGGGAGGGAATGACTCCGGCAATCTTAAACTGTTCAGATATAATTTTTTAATGAGGCATTGATTTGTATTTTTTTCATTTTAAAGCGGTGCTTGAAGGTGCCGCAGCGTTGTCTGCACGTAAGACTTCATGTAAAATTGAATGAAATATTAGACGTTTTGCCGAAATTAATATCGGGAGGAGTTAAACATACCAGAAAGAGCAAGAAATGCGTTTCGGTGCTTGCTTTCATATGCCGCTTAAGAATATAGGCAACTGCTGTACCATATGTACGTACAATATATTTGTCAGACTAACTGCTTCTCGTGTTTGACTAAACTGTCTCCTTTCAGCCACCCACACAGAATATGCCTATGGGTCCGGGAGGGATGAGTCAGAGCGGCCCTCCCCCACCTCCGCGCTCGCACAGCATGTCTTCAGATGGTATGGTAGGTGGGGGCCCTCCTGCGCCACACATGCAGAACCAGATGAACGGCCAGATGCCTGGTAAGTTTTTCTCCTCTAAGACATTAACACCAGCGTTGCCTGGCAACTGAAACGACATGGGGGCTCAAGGGATACTAGATTGTTGATGACAAAACTGCTTTGAATGCCCCCGAGTACAAGCTCTCTTAGAGTTTGTTAGCTACAGAGCTACGTGACCTGTATTCAGTGTTTATCAGGCTGCCCTTGGGCTTTGATGTAGCTGACACACAGCATTCCTCTGATGAACAGAACTGGCTAAATTTAGTCTGTTTGAAACTGTGCAGTACAGCTGGCTTTAGAAGGCTTATTGGGGAAAGGCATTGGCCTGTGGCTGAGTGAACACAAATCCTTCCATGAAAAGATAATGCGAAATCATCGTAGCTAAATAATTAGATAATAATAAAATAGATACATCTTAACAGAGGGCGTTTCCAATGTGGGTAAATGTTTAAAAAAAAAATTGTTTTTATGCAGAAACTCATCCAGCTTCCACTAATCCTCTGTGTTCTTTATTATTAAAGATGTGTTGAATCATAAGGGATTTGTAAAGAAATGGCCTCCAGATTATTGTTCTAGGTGTAAATTTAAAGTCAGTTTTATACCATCCTGTTTTGTAATAAAAAGAAAAGTGCTTGGGAAGTCAGAAACAAAGCAGTGAAACAAGATGATAAAATTCCACATTGTACCTACCAGTACTGGCTTTGGGGTAACTATTCCCTTTAGCAGTCAGATCAGAATGGAGTAGGCCCTGGAAAAGCTTGCTTCTTTATACAGAGGCTGTTTTCCAGAATTTCTACTCATAAAGTCATACTGTCTATTTCATGTGAATTTGACTTCCAGATTAAAATTGCATTCCCAGGATTGCTTTTATTCGGGACCCCTTCATTTTTTTGTATGGAGGAACTTTTTGTACAAAAGCTCTTCAAGGTATTGGGTCTTCCAAGAAAGGGAACTGCTGTCAAAGGATCTTTGAAAATTCATCTCTTGGTGGTCACAAGGATAAGCTTCCTGACAGCACACACAGTAAATAACTATGCAAAACTTAATATGAAGTAAAAAATATAATGATTGCTGTAGTCTCTAACTTCTGTGCCAATCTTGATAAAATGGACCTGATAGTGTTAGTGACAGCTTTTCTGAGAAGAGTAGCTGAATAGCCTCCAGAGGCTGTGTGTAAGAAGTGTAATAAAAGATCTAGAGAAGTTAGTTTCATCGTACATGTTGGTCATGGTCTGCATTTGGAAGTGGAAAGAGCAATATATGCTGCTCCCTAAGCAGGGCAGAGATATTCTGGTTGTGGAGTTCTCTATCCCTCTAAGATCCATCAGCTCCCATGGAGAATAGCATTGCCTCTCACAAATCAGTCTCTTTGACCCTCTAGTGTAATCATATTATTGTTATTATAATGATCTTTTCCAAGGAGAAGGATTACTGAGTCACAATGTGAGCATAATGACTTCACTGCAGAGCCACGGGGGAGAAAAGTCACTCCTTAAACATACATATTTTGTAATTAGATAGAATAAGAAAAGAGCTCTTATGAAAATATGTGAAAGGTAAATAGGTTTGTTTTGGTATTCACCTAGACAGATACTTAAATACAGTTTCCAACTAAGCTTTAATTTAGCCTTTCTTCCAACATACTCACTTTTTTGAATATCTGTTCCTTCCCTTCTCTGTTCAAGGTTGTCTCTGAGGATGTGAAGATAAACAGCTTAGGATGAGGGCATCTCTAATACTGGAAAGGCATGCTAAAATCATTTCATAGTTAGGCATTGGAGAAGGGGAAACAGAATCATCTTGTTAAGTGGATAGCTGAATGATTGTTTTCTTTTTTTAAGTGTTTGCTAGTTTGCCTGTGTGTGAGCCTTTGTGTATTTCATAGACATGTATTTGTAATAATTTCTGCAGTGTATGCATTTGCTTTCTGTTCATAGGGCACTTACTCTAAAGTTACGTAGACACTTTGTAACAGAAGTCAGATACAAAACTTTAAATATCTGAAGAAACGATCTGTCCAAAAGGAATAAAGTCACTAAGGTGCGAACCGAGAGACTCCAGAGTTGACAACCGCGAGTTGACCAGCCTGGAAGAAATAAAATGCAGGCTCTTAAAAATACCAGCTAAGGATTTCTGGAAGGCCTTATCTGAGTAGGGGCTTCCACAGGACTGAGTGTGGGTGGAAGGGTTGATGGGAGGATTCAAAGAACTGCCTAGTGATGGTCAGGGCACAAGTTGATTTAAAGTTCTGTCATGGACCTGTCCCATTACCTAAAGGGCAAAGGATGATTTTTCTCATACTTGCGTTCTGGGTAATGAAGGACTTGAAGTGCTGCTGAGGCCCCTAACTGCATCCCCTGACAAATGAGTGTGTGTATCCTCTTACCAGGGAAGACAGTCATGACGAACCTTTTTCAGCCTATGGTGGAACTGAGTGTTTTCTGTACCTGAAAAAATTAATCTGTGTAGAGTTACACTCCCTGAGAGTTTGTGTGATGTGAAGTAAGGGTGGTCTGGATTTGGAAGGAGATGATGAACTGGGCTGTGCTGGTGGCAAGTTACCTTCCCGATTTCTTGAGCTTGTTTTATCATATGTAGAAAGTTGAAAGGTAAGGCTAGCTGTAGGGTTCTCTGACCTTTGTCCTGGCACTGGTAGGTCACCTTCCCAAATAACAGGTGCTTGCGTATTACCAACAAGTTCTCTCGAAGTCTTCTTTCCTTTCTGCAGATGTAGTCTCGAATGCGCTTAGGCTGGCTTACAGCTTCTCAGAGCTAAGATACTGTCCATAAGTGGTTAAGAGGAAAAAGGACTTCTGTTTATAGTCAAGATAGATATTTATTACATTAACTTTTATTATAACACAGAATGTAATTAGTATAGCATTTAAAACAGTTATTTTAATGGCAGATAATGCACTTCATGTCACTCTCATATGTCATTCATATTCCGTTCTTCCTATTTCATTTATTAGTATGAAAAAAAAAAAATCAACTGCTGTGTCCTTATGTGTAGGAGAACCCCATGAAGTATTTTGGCAAACTATAAAAAAAAGTTTTGTAAAGTGTGTTCTTAACTATTTTTCATTTGCAAGATTTTTTGATACTGTTGTCTTAGCTTTTCCTCTGTCCTTGTCTTCTAGCTTCTGACTAACAAACTACCTGATTTTGACCCCAGAATATACACATCCCTGACACTTCATGTACCAGCTTTTCCTTATGAGTGCTTTCTCCTGTTTTGGTGCTACCCGAAACGTGAAGTGTACGTCAGCCTTTTAGAGAAGGTGTTCTATTTTTTCAACAACTTCTCTCTTGTGATAACTTTTGCCTTCCCCATTTTGCTTCTTATATTACTGGTTTTTAAAAACTTACTCCACTGTGTGCTTTGCTAGCTCTCTGAAATCTATTATCGACAATTTCTTCCTTTAAACAAAAAGGAAAAAAAAAACCACTCCCAGACCCTGACTTTTTGGCACTAACCCTGTGTATTCCTTCCTTTTCTTAGGAAAGAAATTAAGAAAGTAGTCTTGTAGCAGTCCTAAAATAGTTGCTTGGCACTACAGTCTGGAGCTTCACCTTAGCTTTACTTTAACACATTTGATGATTGATTTCATGTTAAGCGATGATCTCACTTTTTCAGAATTAAACTGTCTCCATGTTCTCACTATTACAGAGTTAGGCAGTGTTGAATTGAAGAGGGGACAGTACAGGCATCTATAGTTCTGTGTCATGGTCATAATCCTATTCACTGAGTAGTTATTTTCTGTATTTGTGGTGGATCCACCTTTGTATAGTTCAGCAATCTCTGCTCACCTTGTTTTGCAGGAACAGTGAACTGCACGTATGATACCTTTTTTTAGCTTTTTCACTTTCCTTGATAAAATAAGCTTATGTGTTCATTTCAGTAAGATGCCTTGAAAAGGGCAAGAGGGTAAACATTCTTAAACATATTCTCTGTTTCTTCATGTTGGCTTTTAGTAGCTGTGTTCCTTGATCTCTGTCGTCTTCTGCATCTTTTTGTTTGCAGGTCAGTTGGTATTGCCTCTATGACCTTGTGTACAACTCTCTATGTCCTTATTTTAGCCTTCATTCTGTCCTAGATTAGTGCAGTTATTTCTTTAGTCAAAACAGGACTCAGGAGCTGTTTACATCTGAAGGCAGATACTTCCTCCACGCATACTTCCCCCCCACCCCCCCTCCCCGCAAGGACACATGTAACCAACACCATCTTCCTACAACTCTACTGGCATAGTTTCTTTTAGGTTCCTTTTCTAAGGTTTCTGTATTTCTAAGGCTTTTGTAGCTTAACAAAAATCCTGTGGCATGTTTGGCAACAATGTCATCTTCTTGGGTGAACTCTGTCTATATCAACACTTGCCTTGTTTACAGTTGACCTACTCAGTCACATGCTCTGGTTGTACCTATCTTCATAAACTCTTCATGTGATGCTTGTCATATGCATAATCCTTGCATTTAATTTACTATTTTCATTTGTCATATTTATACCCAGTCACATCTCTTACTAATTTTACTCCTAGTAGATGCTTACTTATCCCAGCTGAAGTAATGAGTAAGCTGATCAGATGGTATTGTAATGTTTACGGTTTTTGAAAATACCCATTGAGAGTAAATTTAATTCAGAGAACAATCCTATTCCAACTTGTGTTGTCAAGAAGAGGGGAAATAAAGGATGAAGCGATGTAGTTGCCCTTACAGGTATAAACCGGTTGCTCTTCCTTTGAATCTTTGCAAGCATGAGAGGTGAGCTGATAATTTGATGGCTGTCCTTCCAATCATCATCTCCCACCCTACTAATCTGTAAATACATTTGCAGAATATTGGCTACGTTACATGTTCGAACAATGTTAAATATGCCTTCAGCTATTTCTACTCTACATGCATTTGTACCATGTCAGTGTTAACAGTGCCTGACTTTTGAGAAAAAAAAAAAACCAAACATATTAACTGTTACTTTCAGAAAAGTGTCTAGTATGGTTTGGTTGAATAAACAGAAATGTTACAGCTATTGTAACAATTATATGTGTAGCTGTGATAGAGCTACCAAGCTGGCTGTTAAACTCGTACTGTGCAATTCAGGTTGAAATTCAGGGTGTGTGGTGCGAGTACTAAAAAGACTAGTTTTGCATATGATATGGATATAAGATGAGCTGTATGACATTTTACACCTTTGTTTCAGTAGCTTCAGCTGCTCAACAAAAGAAAATGTATTGCATAGTAGAGCTGAACTTGGACTGTTATCTTTTTTTAAGTTAAGTTGGGATATCATGAGCAAACTATGTTTTAGCTTTGTTTCAATGAAATTGTATTTAATACTTTTTAATTTTTTTTTAGTTTTGTGATTCAGTATTACTGTATTTGTTTTATGATACTTAATGTAGAACCTTTTTTTCCCCCCGTTTTTCTTTCTAAAGGACCTAACCATATGCCTATGCAAGGACCTGGACCTAACCAGCTCAATATGACTAACAGTTCCATGAACATGCCTTCAAGTAGCCATGGGTCGATGGGCGGCTATAATCACTCAGTGCCATCCTCACAGAGTATGCCAGTGCAGAATCAGATGACTATGAGCCAGGGACAGCCGATGGGCAGCTATGGTCCCAGACCAAACATGAACATGCAACCAAACCAAGGTAAGTGAGGTGCTTGTTAGCTTCTGTAAAAAGGAAATATCTCGGGTACAGACTTTTTAAAAGGTCTTTTCTTGTAGATTTCCTTCTCTGAATGCATTTGTACCCATGTTTGGAGGACTCTATGTCCCCTTTCTTCCATGTGACTTCTTATTTATTTGCAGGCATTAAACTGTTTTCAGGTATTGTGTGGGAGTCTGGGAATGGATCTGCTTTCATCAGTTATAAGTTTGAACTACTGTTTATCTTTCTCAGACTTTACACTTCTATCTAAGTGTTATTATTGCTTGAGTTGATAAAATACATCTCTACTTTTCAGTCTTTTGGGTAAATTGAAAAATTAAAGTCAGGTAGCCCTCAGATTTTTGTACCTAATTAATCTTTGTTCTCTGCTGCATGCTGTTTTAGCATGGGATGTCTGTTAATCTTAAAGAAACAAAATTTAGTTCCAGGAACAAATCCACTGCTCCCTACTGTTTTCAGGAGATGTCCTTCTGTATATAGTAGAATTCAGAACTAATTTTGTATCTAGGATATTTGCATAGCATAAACAGATGATGTATCCTGTTAACAGTATGGTCCTTGTTGAGGTGCAAGGACATTGCAGAATTAAAATATTGCATTAGAGTCACAACAGACCAAATTACTAAATTGTATGTATACTGCATATTCTTATAAATGTGCTTTACAAGTCAGCAAGCAGTATTTTCAGTTTACCCGTTAAGTCTGTTACTATATTGGGTCTGGACATACCACCTGCTGGAAGACATACCACAGAATTTTTTTTAAAAAATGCTTCTGCCACACTTACAGCAAGTATGGGGTTTTTTTTTCCCCAATATGTATGAAGTCTTACGGATATATTAGCTGAAGGATATGACTTGAGTCGAGGTTTTTGTCTCTTTTCTGATGCTGTAGGAGAATGTGGGTTTTTTTTCTAAGGCTGCCTTCCTGGTCATTGTAGAAAATAATCCTCCAGTGGCATAGGTTCTTACTGCAGTATACTCTCGTTGGAGGCCAAAGCTCCACTTCGTTAGGTACATACCATTTGTTCCTGAAGTGTACAAACAGACCAGGTCATACTGATGAGTTTGATTATTAGATCACAGAAAGGTTCAAAACGGACCAAAGACTAAGTTAATGAGACACCAAAAATGAGTCAAGATGACACAGCTGTTTCTGCAGTTTTCTTACCAGTAGTGAAGTGGGAAGTCTGAGTCCTTTGTTGTCCGCATTGTTAATGTAATTTTTCTTAAAAATTAAAAGCAGCGGAAACAAAAGATAAAGTCGTAGCAGAGGAAACCATCACAAGTGGTGTGGCAGTATTTTTAACTGCCTCTCTGAACTGGCAAGTTATCTGTGTTCTGGGCAATACACAAAGGAGTAATTTTGTAAATGCTGTGAGATGCTTTAGAAAAGTCCTGTGCATGCTCAGTTGAAATTTCTTAGTTGCAGAGAGTTAGCAATAAATATGTAGCAGTTTGTGTGAGGGAGCCATCCTCTAAGTCGCTCTGCAGAAAACAACTTTGTATGACTGGCTTACAGTTTAGGACTAGTAATTATTCCATCTCGGAGAACTGTTCTTTACTCTTCCTCATTCCCCTGCTGTATTTTCAGTACTCTGTCAAACTTGAAAATTGCTCATTAGAAATTAGGTAGAAAGATACTTAAAAAGTTTCTGTTCTGAACAAATAATAGTACTGAAGTGGCTTTGGGGAATAAAGAATAAAGCAGTATCTAGCAAAATTATATGTTCAAGAACAAGAGCAAAATAGTTTGAACAAGAGCTGGTACCGTTGCCTGCGTTTAGGACCACAATAAGCTTTCCCATTGGGTTATTCTAATTTTGCCAAATTTTGACCCTTTAGGGCTAAGACTTTGCATTCCAAATGTCTGCTTCAAGGCTGATTTAGTTTTGGTTTGTTTTTTTTTTAATTGTGAAAGTTGCACAGTGGGGTGAAAAATTATATTCTTCAAAATATTTCAATGTCTGACAAAAACGCTAGTAAATAGAGCACTTCATATATGAATGTAGGCGTGCAGGTGCCCCTTGCTGTAGAGCAAGGCTTTGAAGCTTGTCTGTTATGCCAGCAAGGTGCTATTTGCTGTTTCAGTGAAAATATTGTCCCAATTAGTCAAATATTAAATATCTGTAGGGGAAGAATTCTTTAAGTCTGAATATGTGCGTGCATGTTATGTATTGGTAGCTGAGGTTTTTGACCTAAGAATATTCCCAATCAGGTCTACTTAATACGTTTCCTCCATTTTCTACTCTTAGTTGTTACGTTCGTATTGAGGTTTGGTGACAGATTAGAGGAAATATTTTTGTCTCTTCACTCTCTTGTGACTCCAAGACAGCAGGGGAGAGAATGGCAGAGAAATCTGTGAGACCATGAGAGATTTAGGTAGGTAGCCAAGATCCGGTCTGTCTGGGCAGAGGGTCTCAGCCAAGCACGGACACTGCAGGCTTCTCATCTAAGTGAAGAAACAAGAATGAACCGCTAGGAAATGCATTGAGATGCAGTTTAACAAAAAGGGAACAGATTGCGACTTGAAGATTTCTTAATTGGTAGTGTGTGTTGCCATTCAGAAACAGAAATAAACCAAAATTTTCTGAACCTTGGTATTGTTGTCAGGAGGCATTTGTGAAGCCCTAAGCACTCATTGTTTCTTATAAAGGGGTGATCCATATGGAGAATGAGAGATCCTACTATGTCTGTCGGTTAATAACAGCACTAGCTAAATATAATGCTAAATATTCCACAAGATAAGGTCTTAGCATCTCAGATTGGCTGTTAAAAATTAGTAGATGTTTTTGACCTTAATCTTTCCCTGCATAGGTTCCCCATCTGTAGAGGAATGAATCTGATGGTAAGATTATAGTACCATTTTGATTGCACAGGAGTGTTGTGAAAGTATATTCGTTATGAAGATTTGGACATTTTAGTTACGAGTGCCATAAGAAAACCCATGAGTAAATTATTAATTCTGTCTTCAGTGTTTGGCTAGGCATGGCATCTCACATGAACAATTAGGAGGAAAAAAATATTGAAATAGCTTTTCAGTGAATAATATCTACTGTGTCCTGAATGAGGCCAGTACTTTTAGACAAAAAGCATGCTATCATATAATAGATAAAGACACCATAACATGCAGAAAGGTTTGATCTAACTTTTGGGTGGTGTTAGCATAACTTTTTATGTGCATTTTCTAGCAAAACGTCTTGCTGTATATACACATTTTGAGGCAGATAATATTAGTAAGAAAAAATGAAAAAGTGCTAATTAAGAAATAAAATGCATAGTAACAGAACCCATTGTTCAATTTACTTTGTCTCCACTTTGTGCTCATTATTGATTTGCACTTGTTTATGAAATGCTAGCCGAAGGAGTCTCTTAAATGAGAAGCAAAATTTTCACAGTATTGTTTTCATACAGTTGGTCCAGTTAAAAGAAGAATTTCAGTCATTTTGGACTTAGGAAGCAGAATGTTTTAAGTGGAAGATTCTGTAGATGACTCTGGATTAGAAGGGTACTGTAGCAGCCTGGGACATCTGCAAGGAATATTGGCTACCATTTTGGAAAAGATAGGAAGCAACAGGAGCTGAGTGAATGTAGAATAAACTCCTTTCTTATGGATGCATTTCTTCTTTTGTATGGGAAGCTGCTTCTGTTGAATTAAATATTTCAAGTCTTGCCAATTTTTGACTTTTCAGAGGGGAGGTGTAAGCATGATTTTCTGGAACCTGAAACTTTGATGGAAATTCCTCTTATATTGAACAGACCTTTCACAGTCAGCAAATGAATAAAAAACAGTAGAATTGAAATGCTTTAAGAGTAAGGACCAAGAAATCACAGCTTGGCCATCTCAGAAACTTTGTTTCTCGGATCCTTTTGGTAGGACTCTGTTCTCTTGCCAGAAGTGCTTGAAGCAAAGTTGCCAAACTCCCAGTCTGTATTTAATGAGCACTATACATTGCTTGGGGTGAGGGAGGGGAACTAGTTTACTTAACAGGTGAACTCTACATGAGAATATCACATTGACTTGATCACTTGCAGAAGACCTTTTGTTCAATCTGATGCTGAGATTTTTTTAATGACAGTTTCATTTATATAAACTTACAAAAATTCCATTAAAGTTTCAGAGCTCTTTCAATTACAAGCAAATATGAAGAGATCACAGAGACATGAGAGATGAGGCAGGTACAGAATTCCTGTTCTTTTGTTGTCCACATAAAGAAAGGAACATCAAGATAGGAATGTCCAGTGCTCTCTGGACATTCCTAAGCTAGCTCTTGCAAGAGTTATCACCATCACTTATGTTTAAAAACAAGCATTTTTTTGTAAACATGAAGAAAAACAACAAAAGTTTTGCTGAGGGCTGCTGCATTGCTAGGTATATATTTTGTGATTTATGAAACAGTGGACACAATAACGAGATCTACCATGGTGAATCTGGCATGGAGTACTCTGCTGATACTCTAGATGTGGACATCAGATTGCTTTATCAATACGAATGCACATTGTGAAATGCCTAAAGAATAGACCTCTTCTTAGCACAAAACTAACATATTTTTGAAGAATGAAGAAACAGTAGCTTGTATTGTTGTTTTTTTGGTTATACCCAGCTGCTCTTTAATCGGAACAGCAGAGCCACCAGTTCATTCGTGAGTGTAGTTCCTCACTTCTCGGCTTCTTCAGAAGTTTCAACCATGTCAGCAGTTATCCTTGTCCTCTCATAGCGTTTACCACCAGTATCCGAGTTTCAGCAGAAGAGACAAAGCTAAGGAGACATTTTTTAAACTGCTAAGTTTTTCTGCAGCTCTTTCATCCTCAATGTACTTCTGGTCTCAAATTTAGGTTCTAGGACCCACTTCTAGTTTGCAGTTCTTTTTCTCTCTATTCATCTTACATGTCTGAAGACTAGGTTGTCAGTTCCCTGTAGCCATTTCTTGTCAGGAGACTGCCACTGGGTCACTGCATTTGTAAGAAGATCACGTACCACTTAAATACACATATCTTTTCTTCCTTATACCTGAGTCCCCCTTACGAGACACTGACTGGAGCAGGAACAGTTTGTTTCATTTAGTAGGTCTGGATGACTTTGAAATGAGTTGTTGAGGAAAATGTTGTGTATTCTTGATAATGTAGACTACTTTTAATTAAATTGAACAATGAGCAGTTCAGTTTTCACCTATTGTCTGGCTTGCTTTATACGTTCACTTACTCCATAAGACTGATTTGGGTATACGCTGTGCATTTTTCAAATGCCTACATTCCTCACAGGACCTACAGGATTACTTCTTAGCATCTTTTTCTTCAGACTTTTATGCCAAGAATCCTTCCAGTATATTGATATGTGAAGGCTGACATTTACAGGACTTTTGTACTACCAAAGTTAAAATAGTTTCTTGGAAAGACAATAGTCTGCTTGTCTACTTGCCTATTTGCAGTGATAGTCCTGCACAGTATTTTCTTGGGCTCAGTTTGGACTCTGTACAAATCGGATGTTTTGTCCTCTCTGGAATAAATAGTTCTATAAATTCACCAAAAAATAGGAGTTCAAGGAGAGTTTTTGAAAGCAGTGAGCATTCTCTTGCAGCGCACAGTTGTGAACTTCTGTGTGTGAGGTCTTACCTCCAAGTCTGGGAGACATCATGACTTCCAGTGAGGGTAGTATGTTGGGACCTGATTGGAGATTCAAGAGCTGTATTTGAAGTGGGCTGTAAAAATACGTGCTACAAATATCACAAAGTCTGAGATCATGAACTAATGGTCTTAAGTTTTTGACTTCAGTTTTGTGAAGGGGTTTTCTAGGTTAGTTTTATGTCATATTAAGTATGATATAATGAATAAACGTAGCTTTACTGTAGGCTTGATTTTTCAAGAGAAAAAACAAATTCAAAGTTCCCGCACCCCTCAAAACTACTGCATAAAATGACCATGGTTCTTCTTTTAGGTATCTTAATAAGAGAGATGTGAACCAAACTGGAAGGAAGCCAGGCACTCTGTTATTAACACAATACACAGTCTGATACAGGGTAGTGAATTCTCATTGTGGCTCTACAAAGCGTTAATGAAGTTCTAATTTAAAAAGCAAACAGAAAACCTCTGCATTGCACCATGGGGACCCAACACATTTTATCACATTGTATTGTGACTAATATTAATATTGTTAATTAACAAGCTTTCTTGAGATCTAGGAATATTATGACAACAAGGGTTTTTTTGTTTTTTTTTTTTTTCAAGGCTGCCTAATGTTTCTCAGTACCTCCAAACAGAGGAGCAGTGAAATGGAGTGATCTAAATTACACATGCATTCCGAAAAATTAAATATATCTTTGCTAAGTGAAAAATAATTACAGTATCTCAATTTAAACCATTTTTTACTTTAAAATCAGGACATGGACACTGCCATGCTGAAGGATAGAAGCATGACTGGATCATTTTAAGAGTGGCCAATATTTATCTTTACAGGAAAATGAAGCTTAGCAGAACTAAGGCCACTTTACTTCTCACTGAGAGATTCCACACAGGGGTTTAATGGGATTTAACTAACGCACTTTGAATTCATGCCATTAATTAATTTGGCTTAACTTTCTCTTGTAACCCCACATAGGCAGGATCTAAGTGACTGTGTATTCCTTTCCTTATATAAATCCATTTTAGTATTGACTGTATCTAGGTAATTTTTCAGTACTGAGGTGTCTATGTAGGACTTTCTGCTTGTGCTCCAGCACTTAGTTATTTAAAAATATTAAATGCAGTGGCAAAATCTATCATATAGAAAACTAGATGATGCTTTCCTTTTTCTCCTGGGATGGGGCTAAGGAGTGGCTGTGCTAGTTTGATGTTTTGATTTGCTCTGGTTTTTAGTGAGACTAGTTATTGTTGTCTTCGTAGTTTATAAAATAAATTTAAAAGGGGCAAAAAAAGCTTTGGGTTTCACCACTATAAAGTGTGCAATATGTGTTAAGTGGTTTGAATGAATGTATTATAAAAACACGTTGTTTAAGAAGCTTAGCTCTTTGTCACAACTCTTTCTGCTTCATATTTTTAGTACTGGAATAACTCTTTTCTGAAGTGGTACTACAGAGGAAGTGAGGAAGCTGTTCTTTGTTAAAAGTTACATTAACCTAACCTGCAACCCGTATAGTGAAACGGTGTAATCATCATTTTCATTGCTCTGTGGTATTAGTAAGGTGCTCTTTAACTGTCTGTTTTCGTTAAGTTTGCATTTCTCCAAGTTCAGCCTTAACCAGGTTTTCTCAGTTGATAAAACATGGACAGTACTTGATCTCTCCTGGTCTCTTCCTGTGGCTCATAGAAACTTGGTGCAGCTTGGTATGAAAGATGATTTTTTTGTTACAGGCTGTTTGGGATTGTTCAGTGGTGGGCAGAGCAGGTATTCCTGTGGGCCTTTCTGCATACTGCCTGTTGTGTCATTGCCTCACTCATTGGTATATACAGATTGCCTTCACAGGCTAAATAAAATTGTTTATTTTTGTGATAACAGCCAAGTAGCTCATGGATGGACTATAACAACAACTACATGTGTATTAAAACTATGCCCCAAGGAGTTCACAATGTTAAATAATTTTTCTATGACTTACCGAGGTTTCAGCATCAGGTTTTCATCTATACTTTCTTTACAGATGCTTTTTAAAACAAACAAACAAAAAATGGTAAAAGTGTTTCATTTATCTTTGTGCATGAGTAAGCTAATACCTGTGTAGTTTGAAGAAAAATTATCTAGAAAGCAGCCTTATTTAGGCTGAGTTGCATTTTGTAACTTGGTTACTGAATTGATCGCCTGCATTTTGCATAGGTCTAGAAACAATGAATCCTTACGAGAGCACTAGAAATAAAGAGCCTTTTTTGGTCCATTTTTAAAGGGTGGGTTTTCTGTGGTCTTTTTGAAAGGCTTAATCACAAATCCCGTGTACAGAAGACTTGTTACTTTTCCTTTTGCAGGTCCAATGATGCACCAGCAGCCTCCCTCCCAGCAATACAACATGCCACAAGCAGGTGGCCAGCATTACCAGGGGCAGCAGCCGCCTATGGGAATGATGGGCCAAGTTAACCAAGGAAATCACATGATGGGTCAGAGACAGATTCCTCCATACAGGCCGCCACAGCAAGGTAGGACTTCACTTCAGTGTGTTTATATTGTTTTAAAATAACCATCTTTAAAACTATTTTAAATCACTTCCTTGCTTAAACCAAATTTCGATCAAATCATTGAGTATCACAGACTTTGTTTGCAGACTCTTTTTGTTACCCTCTTAAGAGTGGTTCTTGCAGCAACAGATTACTGGTATCACCATAAAATGTGAAGACAAGTATTTCTTTTGTTTTGAGTTCTTTCTGATGAAAAGTATCTAAAAATATGCATCTCAGATATGCTGATGCAGAATTCTGTTTCAGTATTTAAATGATGGGGATAGAAAAGGAACAGAGTACCTGCTTGCTTCTGAATTTGTTCAGTTACAAAAAAAGTAACAATGTTCCACAATCTTGCTTCTTTTTTTTAAGTCCTTTTAGAAAAGGAAGAACTTTATTTTTAACACCTTAGTGTGTTACATGCATGTTCCTAAAATGAGCTCAAAACTGAAGTTTGATACGTGTGCTCAATCTAGTGCAGCCAAACAACTCTGTGTGTGTATATATAGATAGGTGTTTTTTTTTTTTTTTTAAAGTAAACCAGATTACATATTGTCTGAAATGCAACGATATGGGTGGGGAGTACATTTGAGAAATACTTCTCATACTAAAATCAGAAATTAGCAGGCTTTATAACAGAGAAAACAAGTTATTTACGTATTGACTGGTTGTGGTTTTTCAGGCCCACCACAGCAGTACTCAGGCCAGGAAGACTATTATGGGGACCAATACAGTCATGGTGGACAAGGTCCTCCAGAAGGCATGAACCAGCAATATTACCCTGATGGTAATCTCTCATAAATGTTAACTTTCCCATTTTCTATACCTGCCCAATATTAACGTAGTCATGTGCCCAAACCTAGGGAATGGGGCAAGAATAGTAATTGGATGTCATACCTCATGTTTACAAAACCTTCCAAATTCAGAATTGTTACTATAGTTTAAGTTACTATGACTAGTTAATTTTATAACTTACTCAAAGTATGTAATTTGTAATACTCCCATTTGAAACTTAACAACAGTTTTAGTATTTCAAAATGAAAATTCTGTAATTGGTTTATCTAAAAGTATGGAGGGTTCCTTAGCATATCTAGTATAATTGAGATTAATTAAAAGTCATAACTGTATTATAAATAAGAGAGGGGGCGATATCCTTTTATTGAGGATTTTATTGAAGTGGAAAAACTTGCTTGAAAAGATGTGTTTTTTCTGTAAATTTTCTATTTTTTAACTTAGTGTTTAGTTGTAATGTAAGTCGCACAAATGTGTTATTGCTGCTATAATGGTATGGGCCTTAAGCTTAATTTTTACAAGGGAATAAAATGGTCCCTGCCCTCAGGAGCTTGTAATTGTGAATCCTCTTTAGAAGTCCCCCCCAGTGCATTCAAGACAAGACCATAACTTTGAATTGCATAAATCTGTCATCCCACCTCTTGGAATTTAGAGTGCTGAAGGCTATTGGATTGTGTTATAAGTTAGAAAAGTTGCAATTAACCTGTTTTTAGGCTGAGCAGAGACTGGGAGAGCAAAGATGCTGACTCATGAGTACTGTAATAACCATGTGTGCAACTTAATGGTATCTTATGAAGTTCAAGGAATGTGGTAGATGTTAACGTTTTGAAAATATATACAAAGGAAAGCTGTGTAATTGCCAAAGTAACTACTTATTGCAAATAAAAGGATACAAGTTAGTTGTTTGAATTTTAATTTCTATTAAATTAAGATATATCAAGCTGTGTCTATATAAGATTACATGTGTTATTTTTGGAGATACATGTGCAGAGTTATTTTACAAATTGCATTAACTCATAATTATTAAGCTTTTGGTTTGGAACTTTTATGTTATACACATGAACTTCAGATGGTTACAGGCAATTTACTGTAGTAAGGGCAATTGGATGTTGCCATTGACAGCTCTGTGGCAGCACAGGTTACTTCTCTAAGACCTATTCCTTCTAAAGATTCATTGTTTATCATTACATCATTATTACTCTTATACAGACTGTAAAGAGAATATAAGACGTGTTAATGGTTGTGTATTTGTATTAGATTCAGTCAATGACATATGGTACAGTTGCAGAATTAATTATAAAGATCACTTAGTTTTAGAACTGTTGTCTCCTTTCCTTATTTTTATTCCAAAATTGTATTCCAAATGTATACAATCTGTGTAATTTTATTTCAAATTTAAACAAAATTTTGGCCTGTTTTCTTGACCAAGTTAGCAATAAGATATATTTTGGTCATCTGTAAGACATAATATATTTGTTCTAAAAACAACAACCAGTGGGGTGCTTACCGCATTACTTTCTTAATCAGAGATACCTGTAGTCTCTGAAAAGGAAGGTTCATTTGTAATGATCCTACTCAAAACTGGAATGTAGGAGCAAAAGTTTTCTTAAGACTTGTAGGAATTCTGTTTGTAG